ACTACCTCACATCACACAAAACTCTAAGGTTAAAGTTAAGAACCGAACTGAGATGTGTGGAGCTCTAGGTTGACACTGTAAGCATGAGTCCATCTTTTCTCCAGAGAGAGTGCAGGGCAGGACAGTCATCCCTCCCTCATTAGTTCCTCTGTTTTTATGAGAATATATTGCATTAAATTAAATGTGTTTGCAAAACAAGGGTTCCTTCTGATATGCACATTTATTTCATTCACTGGAGCGTGAGCATTACTGTCTTGCTTCGTAAATAAAATTAGTTTTGATTCTTTTTAAATTAGAAAACAAATCAGTGATTAGCCAAATGAAAAGCCTTTTTCAATCTCACGGGTACACGTTGCACACATTTCTGAAATGTTTTCCTCATTTGGCTACAGCAAATTAATAGAAGCCCTATTCCCCTGCTGTAAGTCAAGAAAGGAACCAGAAAGAAATTCAGACACTTCTGAGTTTTTCTGTGTTCTGGTGCCATTCTTTCCTGCAAAGAGTTAATAGTCAATGCTTTACCAAGGCCAGTTTTCTTTGAAATCAAGGGAAATTTTTTTGAGGATCCTGGCTTCATGAGCAGGGAGAGCATGCTTTGCAGCATCCTTTCCATCTGTCTTTTTGATCTTCACCTGTGGCTGGAGTATTAAATGGGCCATTGAAAAGAAAAAAAAAAAAAAGAGTGATTAATGAGGTGTAACCCTTCATCACGGACTGCAAATTTGATTTCACAACTGAAATCAGCCCTGATTTGCTCCACTCCTGTTCAGTCTTGATAGAGGAGCAAGACCCAGGGCCAGCTCAGACTGAAGCGTCTGTGCCCCCGAGGGGACAGCGCTGGCACCCGGGCAATGAGCTGGAGCTGAGGTAACAGACCTAAGAGTTACCATCAGAAATAAGCAACAACCACTTTACAAAAAGACTTTTTAGGACCTGGAAAATATGCAAACAATTTTTGGGTCTGGTTCATTCGATGCATAACTCTAATACTTTGCCCAGAGTGCTTCAACAGAGGAAAGTAAAGATAATCCCTGTAGCATCAGCCTGGGGACGGTGGTAGATGATGGGTACATGGTAACTGCACACAATACGTGCAGACCTGACTCCGAGTCAGAAAAGAACGGAGACATTTCGCTGAGTATACAAAGAGCTTAAATTTTACACTAAAACTCTTCCTCTGTGGTAAAAGACAATGCTTTTGTTAGCACAATATTAATGTTTGTAAAGCGTCTTGGCACGAAACGCTGTTGGTTTTTCTTTCCCAGCATGTCATAAAATCCTCATGGAAAGGAAAACAGAGTATCCCTAATGCACCAGATTACTGCTACACCGGAGTCTCCTGATGCTGCACCAGATTAACGCGACAGAGCAATAAAATGCTGGATCTTCATTTATCACACCTCTTTAGCTCTCTCCCATGCTCAAAGAGGTTTGCAATGAATGTTAGCTTTTTCCCTGAAGAGAAAATAAGAAGTAACCGAGAAATCATTGATATTTCAACTCTGCCAATTTTTACTCAAGTGTTGATCTTCGGAGTATACTTCAGTTTTTCTTTGTCCTTACCTAATCCACTGAGGAGCTTTTTATTTTATTTGGATTTGGGGTTTACACTTCCATCTGCTTCTCGTTACATTACAGAATGACAAAAATCACGGAATGGTCAGGGTTACACGGAACCTCAACAGATCATCTAGTCCAACCCCCCTGCCAAAGCAGGATTTCTATTGCTTAATCTCTAGGTGTGTGACTTATTCTAGAAATGTGGTCTTATTTTTGTGTTAAAGTAACACTCACAGAGTCCCCGTGGGTCTGAGACACCTCCATCTGAAAGATTTCTAAAACGGGTGTCCAGCCCTGGGATAAAATGTCTGGAGGGACATTCTGGGTTTGTTACCTACCCTCCATCCTCAGGCCACGACGCTGAGGCTGCTGGTGGCTTTTTCTACCTCTGAACTGCCCCATCTCTATTCTGAGCAGCCTTTTGGCAAACTGGCACCCAACTCACCATTTCTCTGTGTCATACACAAGTCTGTGCCCCACCTATAAGCTTATTTTAAAATATAAAAGGCTGGGTATGAGACCTTTGCTCCTGGCACATTTTAACTGTGTTGGTGGCACTGCCAGTCCCAAGCGTATCGAAGGTGTCTGTCGGGCTGCTGGTTTTTAAATTGTGGGGGTGCACTTGCTTCAGGTTTATCAGTAATACCTCATAATCACCAAATTAAATGATTTCTCTTAAAAATGGAAAAGTAAGATACTCAGGCAGCCTTAGGAAAACACTAGTGAGGAGGTGGCAGCGATGACACCCTTCCCCTCCGATCCCTAACAGCTTTCTCCAGGACCTCCAGCTCTGATTTTGTGGAGCTCCAAGTGCATTGGTAGGAGAGAGCCAATTATAAGGTTAGGGGGGTTTTGTTGCTGTATGACAGAGGTCAATACCGTTCTTCCCGGTTTTACAGGTGCAGAAACTTGTACAAGGGTCAAAGTGACTCAGGCAGAGTTTCAGAGCCTCAGAAGCAACTTCCTAAATCTTGCCCTGGCATTTCAGCTATTCCCTGCTCATAACCATCTCTCGCTACTTCCCTAGCAAATACTAATATCATATATAGCTGGTGAGAGCAACCAAGTGCCAAGCTTTGCTGCTAGTGTGAACAAGCCTTTGGTTTTTCATTCTGTTAATTTTCCCTGTGCTTAAGTGCTCAGCTGCTCCAGAGGATCAGGCCAGTGGCGGACGATGGCATAGATGTACTTTGACTTGAATTATGCATCCCTGTGTTTCTGCAGAGCAAGCTGCTAATATTTTGTACATGGGGCACCCTCCCTGTGTGAGAGCATTAATTATTATTGCTGCCTGCAAAAATGATCAGTGAACTAAAATGGGTTTTTCCAGTTCTGTCACTGGAGAAGAACTTCTGGCTAATCAACTGGAGGCAGATGGAGTTGGCAGGGATGACATAAAGGCCTGCATTAATTACTCGACATTGTCTCAAGAACTGATAAGACAGGTGATTTATGCCTGGAACAGCCTGATAATTCCAGAAATAATAGATATTGCGTGACTTAATTAATCAATGTAAAGCTGACTGGGCTGTGATTTTCAATTAACGTCCGCAGCGTGGCGTGCAGGTGTGTGGAAGGTGGGCTGCAGCCCGCTGCTGTGAGAAGCCTCAAGGTACTTACTAATTGCCTGAACCAGGGACCAGGCTCTGCATACAACCTGCAACTGTCTCTCCTTGCATCTGGTGAGTTCTGGCACTCTCGTGCTTAGGGAATGCCAGCGCAGCTAAGTATGATTGCATGAAGAACAAAAATGGTGCATATATACATGGCAAGAGTGGGTAGGAGCAAGAAGTTAGGAATCAGTCCGTCCTATGAGTTCATGCTAAAAAAAAAGCATCAGGAATAAATAGTTTTAAGGCCTGAGTGTTTTTAGATCTGGCTGTCACCCTGCCTGGTGTGGTTAATCCTCAGGGCTGGTGGTCACACGGGCAGGGCTGTTCTCCACCTGCAGAGGTGAGAGGGGACACCCTCGGGTGGGAGCAAAGGCTCTGTCCACCCGGAGCTACAGGTCCTGCTGGCTGGAGTCAGCCCACAGGACAAAACATGTTTTGCCCTGGCTGTTGTCTTGTTTTTCCCACTCTTCACATACAGATCGCTGCAGCTCTATCGCCCATCATGCCACCTCCCTGTAGCATCCCCTGCCTCTCACCTCGGGCTGATTTTTTGCACATAACCCAATCTTGCTGTTTGTATTTGCAGATGCACAATGCTCTCCTGCCCCAGCCTGGGAGGATGGACAGGTTTTACTCTTGCTTTCACCCTCCCAGGAACTTGTTTTCAGTCCTCCACTGTGGTTGTTGAAATGAAAAACGTTGTTATGAGCTGGTCGGAAACAGGAACCAGGTCTGGGCATGGTTCCTCGCTCCTCTCATCCTGCTCTATGGTCTCACATTAGTCTTTTGATCTCTGTGTACCTACTGAGCTCCCAAGCACCATAAGGCACGGTGACTTTTTGGTGTCCCAGCAGGACAGAGCCCGATCAGTCCCTGTACTTGACCCTACCACGCTGAACGGGTCTGCATCCCCAACGATCTAAGCATCAAAGACTCAGGCGAAATCTTTTTTTGCGCAGTGCCTGACAGTGCTTGGCGAAGCCATGGAATGGATAGTCCGAAGGGGATTGAACTCATTTTAATTTCTGAAAATACAGTTTATATTCACGTCCGTACTTACATTCAGAACCAATAAATATACACGACAGCTTTCCAGAACTTCACAATCATTGTCACTTACATAATAGTAAAGTGGTTACATTACATTTTATATGCAGTTTGGCTTAAACTGTGAAAGTATTACGAACACATTGAATGCTTTCAACAGTGTTTTCCTCGTCTTTTTTTTATTCTCTCTTACTGTGTTTGAAAGATTCCTGAATACTATAAACCTTTTCTGTGGCTTAATGACAGTAAAACAATGTCAATGGGCTACTCAGCACTCTATAACCACATCTCACACACAATGTCAAGATCAGTGCTGTGGCCTTTTTTTTGTATGTAACCTCCTCTTAAGAAATAGTGTTTTTCTTTTTAAGACATCCCCTTGAAGGCTTCCAAAGATCTTATCTGAGCTGTTTTCTGCTTTGAGTTGATCCCAGAAGTGCAAAGCAGCTGTAAACTCAGCTTAACAAGGTATTTAAAACAGGTTTAGTGATGTTTTGCATCATTAGAGCAGTACAAAGCCGGCAGTGTGTACCAGTAAATCAGTCCCCTAGAGTACAGAAAGTGGTTACACACGTCTGACTTAGCTAAAACAGAGCTTCACACAGCCCAGTACAGCCCATGACACTTCTAGCTGGGAAAGGGAGGTGAATAAAGAGAAGTCTATGTACATTTTTTTGAGCTTGTGGGTCTCCAGATCTTAGCTTTGTTAGGAATTCATCTCTCCTTTAAGTCCCCAAGTTCTCCGGGTCTACAAGTGCTTCGCAGTACCAAACCACGCCCTTACACCTTGCTAGTCTGCATGTGTCCATTGAATTCAATATTTCTCTGGGTTAACATTGATTCCTGCAAGCGGCTGCTGTTCTCTTGCCTGTGTTCAATGGGGTCACCATCCTCTACACCGTTGCTCTTTCGAAGGCAAAGGACTTTCTGAAAACTCTGCTTGAAGTTGTCAGAAAGAAACCCATAAAGAATGGGGTTGGCACAGCTGTTCGCATAGGACAGGACCACCACAAAGAAGTACACCCCTGACAACACGGGGTCTTCCGGCAGTATAAATATCAAATTGACGATGTTCATTACATAAAATGGGAGCCAGCAAAACACAAAGACCACCACAATGATCACCACCATCCTGGTCACCTTCCTCTCTGATCTCCTGCGCCTCGTAGACCCGACTCGGATCCCCGAAGATTTGACTTTAATCACGATCAGCAAGTAGCAGAGACAGATCACCAACAAAGGGCCAAAAAACCCAAGGACTGACGTGTAGATGATGAATGCCGCTGACCAGATGTTGACAGGCTCTGGCCAGTTCATGTTGCAGGTGTGAAAGTCTTCCTGCACATCCGAGAAGATGATGACTGGAAGCACCACCAAGAACGAGAAAGTCCAGACAGTCACGCTGATGAGCTTGGCCACCCTGGGACGTCTCCACTTGGTTGATTTAATGGGGTGGACTACTGCCAGGTAGCGGTCCATGCTCATCACAGTCAAACAAAAAATGCTAGTGAATTGGTTGATACCATCTACAGTCATAACCAGCCTGCACAAAAAGGAACCAAAAGGCCAATAGGAGATGGCATTCTGGGTTGCCAGGAAGGGCAGCCCCAGCATGAAGAGGACATCGGCCACAGCTAAATTCAGGATGTAGATGTTGGTGACAGTTTTCATCTTGGCGTAGCGCAAAACTACGTAAATGACCAACGTGTTGCCGCTGAGTCCGACTGCACACACAAGGAGGTAACAGATGGGAATCAGGACTTTGTGGATGTATTTGAATGAGGGCTGCTCTGAGAGCGTCCCATTCTCGGTCACGTTTACCAGCAGTGAGGAATTCACATCAATGGAACTAGCTTCTGTGCTAAATGTGGTGGAAAAGTATAAAGGATCCATAACTTTTACTCCTCAGATTTTCTTTTAAGGCTAAGAAAGATTAAACTTCATGGGCATCTTGTTCCTAGAAAGAAAAAAAAAAAGGAAGAAAAAAAGAGAAAAAAAAAAAGTGAGTTCAAAATAGACTATGTTTTACACAGCATTTATTTTTCTATTTACAGTCAGAATTTGTGTTTGAATTGCGCAGCTAACACATCATGAGATCAGTTCCTGAACAAAGGAACTGCACAATGACGGAGCCCAAGTGCTCACCCCAGTAGATGGAGGTATCAGTTTAACTTTGACAAGCTCGATGCAGTGGGCTCGGGGCTGGATGTAACTTTGGAGACAAGAGGCTGCCCGGCAGTGAGGTGGCACGTATCCTGCCAAGAAACACAAGCAAGAAGTGAGAGGGTGCTGGGCACCACGCTTCACAGTCAGAGGCAGAAGCTTTTCTGGAAAGGAGGAGTCTGAATACCCCGGGAAGCCCAAAGGCTGTTGGTAACAAGGCCAGTTCTTCGTCTGCTGATGAGAAATGTCACTTCTTGCATGTCTCCTGTGCCACTTGGCAAGAAAACTTCACCATTTGACTGTCTCTCTGTAACCTGGCGTATGCATATTTTCCTCTTTTGTGAAGTCAAGGAGCTGGTGGGGGGGAAACAACCTCTACTTCCCAACTTGTACAAAAATTCACAAATCCAGAACCAACCTTTCCTCCCATCTTTCTGTCTAAAAACTGATGCGGAAAATGTTAGAAGATAATTTTGAATGGGTCAGTGCACACAGATCAGACAGAAAGCAGAGCCCTGGCATTAGTGCCAAAAGCTTTAAAGTCCAATTCGGTGCAATTCTGCTGTCGCTGAGCAGTGGGTGCCTGGAGAGGCTCAGGGGCTGACTCAACCCCATCTCACTCCCAAAGAAGCTCTGGTTGCTTTCAGAATCCAGAACCAAAGATAGTCCCAGGCTCTTCACTTCTGAAGCTCCACCGCAATGTTTCACAGGTCTCCCTGTTTACATAGAAACAGTCTCAGCTTGATATATTCAAATGCCACTTACTGCCTGGCAGAACCAATTGAGAACCCCCAGGGAACATCATCAGCCACGTAGGTGGGGAAACAAAATCCTCCATAACAACTGACAAAACCGTAGGAAAAAAAATTTTAAAAAAGTAAAAAAATCAATGAACTCTAAGAGGGAGAGGACGACATCTGAGAACACGTTTCCATCAGGTCAGGCCATGTGCACGCCGATGTGAAGTCTGCAATGGAAAGGAACAAGTTGTTTCTTTTCCAGCTCTCAAGACTACTCTTCTATTAGTGTGTCTGAATCCCTCTCCTCTCACCTTGAAGTGTGCTCTTTTTTTTGCCTAGAAACACCTTTCTTCTGCAAGAACACCAAGGTGCAGTGGGTAGCTTCAGGATACAGAGCTGAGCAGATTGGTGAGAGAATGTGTTTTGTAAGACAATCTGAAAAGGGTTGTTGAAAATTTCTGACGCTCTGCTTCTGTGGCATGCTTGAGTCACTTGAGTATTTCTTCATTCTTTGTCTGAACATGGTCTAAGTAGGTGTTCACAAAACTTTCTGCTAAAAAAATCTTTAAGGCGTCTGCTACAAAAAAAAAAGAAGATTCAAAACACCAATTTGGCCCAAGACCTCTCTCACGCCTGGCCAACAGGCAGTCAAGAAGGTGCTCAAGCAGAATATGCCCGGCAGGGCCCAAGACCTCTCTCACGCCTGGCCAACAGACAGTTGAGAAGGTGCTCAAGCAGAATATGCCCGGCAACTTCTGCTCCCATCACCCAATGGTCAAGTTCCCATAATAATCTGGGGGCATCAATCTGGATTCAAAACCACACAGCCCACATTGCACCACTGCCTTTCAAGCACGAGCAAAATTCTGCATCATGCAAGCGTGCAGCGGACTTCTTGTCTCCAAGAGGACTGCAAACACCTCCACCGTGCTTTCTCTTTGGGTGAGAAAAACTGCAGTGGGTGAGAGTAGAAGTCCCTCCAGCTACCAGTGGTAATCATAAATACGCTGTTCTGATTTGGAAATGTGCAGATGGGAAGTAGGTGTCTCACATGTAGCTCCGTGGCTGAGAGGAGATGTACCAGAAAAATCAGAAATCCAGGGTGGCTGGGATGGGAAAGCTGAGAGAGCTGCCAAAGCTCAAACAAATGCTGGCATGAAGACGGAGATGAGAAAGGGGCAGGGAGGATCTGCAGGTTCTGTCACCGTGTCTGGGGTTTCAGTATTGCAGTCCCCAAGAGCACGCTGCAGGGAGAGATCAGCTGAGCCCAGGCTCCTTGTGAATTAAATAGGACTAAACTCACTGCTTATATAAGAAAAGGCAAACTCTGAGTCCGGCCAAAGAATGGCCTTTTTAATTCTGACAATGTATTTAAATTATACAGTTGTATTAAAACTCAGATTATTTATAGGGGGAATCTGAGAAAAGCCAAGACAACACCACACTCCTCTTGGGCTGTGTGAGGTTTTGATCTTTGGGAAGTTGCATTTTCTTGCAACCCAGGTGCTGTGCGACCCAGCTGGCCAGCCAGGATCCCAGCCAGGGAAGAATATAAAGAAAACGAGCGGTGGGATGTGGCAGTTCTCACATTCATGGAACTGCATGTTTGGGACTGAGCACAGTGCTGGCATTGGAAGGTACCTCTCCTCAGACTAGCTCAACAACATCCAGTCTGGGCCAAAAAGCAAAAATTTTTGTCCTGGGGCTGCAAAACCAGGAGGACAGTGAAAAGAACCAGTGCTACCAGTCAGCAGGGGAAGGTCAGGAAATGCGGTCATGTGTAGTCTCATCCTAGTGCTTAAAAAAAAGGAGGACGGACATCTTTCTTCTAAAGTTACATCTTTTTTTTGCCACAGTAGAAATCCTTGAAATTGCTGACTATAAAATTATACGGTCAGTTCTTCAAGCCTGTTGCTTCTTCCACTGCATTTAGGGTTCAAGCCTTGGGAAAAGTATTGAGGAAAGGAGTTCCTTTATGTTCATAACCTACAACACAAAACTCCAGCTTGCCAAGGGCCTCAGGTTCTTCCATCCATCAACTGCTGG